TTTTCAACGTCCTTTGTGTCTACATGTTACCCTGGTATACACCTTCAGTAGAACTCCAATTGTCACATGTTTGTCAAAAGATTAACATGTGGAAGCTATTACTCTATCTAACGGTAGGCCGTTGTTTCTTCTAATGTGCCCGCTAGTTTCCTGAGATAACGTGAGCAATGGTGGGAAATACATCGTGCACGTGCAAAATGCTCGCTGACGTAGTATCCTACCATTGGTTTGGTATTTTTTCAACGGTTTACCTTTCCTTTCGATTTGAAAAATAATTACTTTTTCAGACTCTCAAAAAAGCCATTTTTTAAATATACAGGGGAGACTAACCCATATCCAGCTTTAACTACTTCTAAGTAGTGTTATCTCCGTTTTACAAGCAAACGCTCTTGAAAGTTATAATACATGATTATTGTATTCAGTTTGAAGTTGTAATAATGTTCCGATAAACAAATTATTCTCCTGCATAACAATGGAATACTACTGACTAAGACCAAACGGTATATGCATGGAATAAGGGCTTTGTGTTCCTATAACTTATGTTCTACACTCTTTGTTTAAAGGCACATTATGCCTTAAAAATAATTTCTGTTAATTTTTCAGATAGGGCAATCACAATGTATTAGATCTATAACGTTTATATATTGGTTTTAGAGCATATAAGCTGTTCATCATTTGAAGAAAGTAGATCTGAATGTGAAATTATGTGTTATAAAATAGCAAAATGTCCACAAAGAAGTGTTTTCAATTACATACAAAATGAAAAATACCTATATTATGACAAATTGCAAAAAAAGAAACAGAAGACAAATAGCATTCAGATACTTGGTTAATGAGTACCTTTTTGGGATATATAGCAGTACAGCAAACTTAAAAATGTAAAAAAAAATGTATTTTTGAGGCATAATGTGCCTTTTATAAAAAAAAAACAAAAAAACATTGCTTCAATCGTGAAGCTATGACTTTGTATTAAAAAAAATTGCGACTTATATATAATTGAAATAAATTGCAAACTTGAGTTTTGTCAAGTTTATTTTCTTGAAATAAGTAAACTGTATAAATGTTATTTGTTTATGTGTAATAAAGTATTTTAAGGGAAAGTGAATTCTATATATTGTTGCTCTAATTATTGCTGTAGTTAGCTCCCTTGTGCTTTTACAACATTATCAATTAATTTACGAAAACGAAAAAAAAATGATCTTCATTCAAAACTGTACTGTAATGTTGGATTCAATTGGTTAATGAAAGGCAGAATTTCTCTTAGAACTAGGATTTGTCAATAAGATGTTGATATCAGTTTTTAACTCAGTATTTATTAGTATTACTCACATTATTTATATACTTTATCATATTTAAGAAAATTCAAAGATACCAACTGCTAAGCTCGTGTAAGTAACACGTGGACTGTCTTTTGTTGTTGTTGTTTTTTTACGTTGGCGTTTTATAGACAGTTGATTTTGAATAGGCTTGTAAATTCATTCATGTTTGAAGAATTTTCTTCCGGTGTATTCTAAATAAGCATCATTCCTTCTTCATAAGAATGATAAGACTGAATGTAAGTACACAGTCTAGTGCAAACAAAGAACATGCCAGTACTGGTATACATAATCCAAATTGTAATATAAATATCCGGAACAATTTTGAGGGAAAAACGGCCCTATACTTAACAAACGATACCCTCACTGAAAGTAATATTTTGGGCAAGAAAGATGCAAAAGTTGACTTTGATCCGATATGCACCAATTATATAAGCGTTGTTTATATACCATATACAGTATGGTTAAACATAACGCAGGATTGTGCAAAGGTACAGATCACTAAGTAAAATATAGATAAACCTGTGCAGTAGCCATAACTCGAAACATAAATTGCAACCTTAAGATTACCCTTAACACCGTTTAACTAAATCTATAGCAAACTGTTATTACCATGTTACACATTTTAAACACTATTCTGGACTACCATGGTTTTCATTGTCCATGATAAGTAACTTATAAAAATATGTATTACGTCTATTATACGATGCATTTTATTCCCGAAGCAAACAACACAAAAACTAAAATGCCAAGCTATATTATACATTTGAAATCAGTGAAGACAAAAAACTTTAATACATCATTGTATGTAACCATTTCAAACAATTATAAGATACAAATACAATATAAATGTAACACATTTTCCAGCTGTAACTTGTATTCATGTCCAGTGGCCTGTGGGGCAAGATTCTTCAGGAACGACTTGGTGAAGTGTCATCTTCGAAAACAAACCGAATTCTAGAGGCTACTTTTTCGAGGAAGAAGTCATTGATGAGAAGTTTGTAAATTCGGGTGACGTCAGACCATTTATGCCTAAATCAACGCCTTCGACTTTCGAATAAAAGGAAACATACAGCTGAAATAGCAGCGGCAGGCACTACAGTAACTTCAAGGACCGATTGCAAGGACAAGATTATTCGATTCCTAAACGATGGAACCACGACAAGGAAAGATTTTAAAGGAACAAATGCATCATTTCAGTGAACATCAACAATAGGAAATAAGAAAATAAAATCAAATAGGACAACATTTTTGAAGTGAATGTTATCTTATTAAATTCTGAATATTTTTTTTTTAATGTTTTAAAATGTTCTACATTGCTTGGTTTAAAAAGTTTAAAATTATATCATATTTGTAAACTTTGTTTCAAGGAAGGTGGAATGTGGCAGAATTTGATTATTTCTTAAACCATTATATTTATTTTTAGTCTTTAAAGTTTGTTCTCTAAATTTCTTCTGTTTACAGTAAAGTAATGCAGATTCACTTTAATACATTACTTTTCAGTGTAAAATTGGTCCTCTTAAGTTTTTGGTCATTTCTAGGATAATGTTTAAATGTTAAGCTTTTATGGTTTTTCTTATTTATTGATTATTCCTTCTTAAGTTATTGATTAATTTGAAGCTACCCCTATTTTTTTCTATATTTTAGCATGAGATTTTTGTGAATTCATTTTTAGACAGCTTAAATAAGGGAGATATTTTTACCATTCTCATTGCTTGTATTCACGGACAATAAGGTAACTTTTACATGTCAATGGACTAAGTCACTTCCACCACTCTCATTAAAAATTTATCTTTTTTAACGTTATAAATTTAAGAGATTTGCTGTCTTAAATATTCTAAGTATTTCATATCATAAAATTGCATTTTTTGGTATAAGTATGAAACAATAATTTCTTAGTAAAACTCATGGCAAATAAAACAGGATTGAAGTTGACTGATGTGGTGTTTATTAATGTAGCTGATATAAAAAAGCTAAAACAGTATTTATATAGAATTATTGGACTAAGCAAAACGGTTACAATATCACAATCTTAATTAGATTGTTTGATATCTTAAGATGATATCACAGTCTTTATTCGATTGTTTGATATCTTAAGCTTATATTACGTCTAAATAAGATTGTTTGATATCTGAAGATGATATTACAGGCTTAGTTAATTTGTGTGATATCTGAATATAATTTCACAATCTTGATTAGAGCGTTTGATATTAATAAATAATATCACAGACTTAAAGACATCAGGAGCAAACTATATAACACATAAACAAGTTCCAAATATGTTTAAGCATTCCTACCCTAGCGCTTTATAATTGCTTAACCTAGACTTTTTTCTGGAGACTACACACACAGCTATATGTATAATCGTTGTATCAAGTAATTTGTTCTCGTAAGTAGTTTAAAAAGCTTACAAATGGTCAAGAATAACTTGTAGGGCTTATTATAATTCTCCTACTGGTAACAAGACGCTATAGGAAAAGGGACGTTTTCAAATGATATAAAGATATAATTACAGATATTGTGGATATTGTATGATTGAAACAAGCCTAAGTCATTTCATTTGACATGTTCTTTAACGTCTCCAGAGTTCACTTTGACAACTATTGTGAAATGCTAGCGCTCTAACCTGACCCACGCGGGTCAAGTTAGGAAACCATATTTAATTCTTTATATGAAGAAAAGTTTTGCTCCTTTGACTGTTTAATATATTCAGTTTAGGGCATTTACAGAATAATGAATGAAAAATTCAAAACTAAGACATGAAAATTTTGTCTGTGTCTCTCTTTAAAGTGGGTAAATGTTCATAAGGAAGTGTTGAAAAATACTAAATTTTAGTTTGTTCCTTGTATTTTTGATGAAAAGGACGCTGCATGTATTTGTTTTGTACATACATTGGTGATGTTGTTTTATATAAGTTAACCTTTTTTAAAGTGGGTAAATTTTCATAAGGGAGTGTCGCAAAATTAAATACTTTTTTAGTTTCTTCTTTGTATTTTTAACGGAAAGAATACATGTGTGATGTATGTTGTTTTACATATTGTTGTTTTTTGATAGGTCAGCTAAATATATATAAGTTAATGCCATTATCAATTTGTTTTCAATACTAGTCAGTTAAATTTAGCGCCACATTTTATAATGGCGTTAATTTGTTTTAAACAATATCACCAGGGCTGCGTTTCGTAGAAAGTCCTAAGTGAGTCTTAAGTCTTAGGACAAATGACAAACTATAAGACTAACTTAAGACCATTTCAATAAATATTTTCATCTGTAGTAAAAATTCTAGACTGTGATTTAAGTCATTCTGCTGAGATTAAAAGTTACAAACTACAAATCCATGCACTTCATTGTGGGATGTGTTTATGTTCATCAGCATCGCTATTCAAAAATTGAAGAGATACGAGTTAAGGACACTTTCTTTGCAACAAAACTTGTCATAAACGTCGCTATAAGTAAGGACATTTTTTAAACGGAAATTGTCTCAGTTTTGATCTTAAGACATAGTTTAGACTTAAGACTTTCTATGAAATGCAGCCCTGGTGAATAACACTTTCGATAAACTGTCAAATGCAACACATGGAAATTGGTTATCATGTTATAAAGTTAGAAAATGCCCAAGTTTCAGTTGCACAACGTGTTTTTTAATATTCAGCTATAAAGATATAGATCTGGAGATAGGGTTAAATATTATTTCTATAAATTTCAGGGTGTGAAAGCAGTCATCGCCGAGAGTTACGAGAGGATTCACCGCAGTAACCTTGTTGGTATGGGTATCATACCATTCCAGTATTTGGACGGCCAGAATGCCACCAGTCTCGGTCTGTCCGGTAAAGAAACTATCACTGTTGATTTACCACAGAATTTACAACCAGGTCAAACTGTAGAGGTTAAGGTGCGTATTTGGGGAAAAAAATGTTTTGTTCTGTTTTTTGGTTTTTTTTGCTCTTCCAGGAATGTAATGTAAAAGGCTTATTAAAAATTCATTTTAATAAATGGTTTTATTTCTGCAGAAGTTTTAGCTATATGAGTTTAACACTGCCATCACCTAGTGGTGCTCTACAGAAGTGGTCAATTAGGTTGTAAAATAGTGAAAAACAGAATCCCTAAAGAATGACAAAATTTAAAATGCTGCAGACTCGATTTGATCGAGGCTGTTCATGGACGGTACTGAAAAGTGCAAATTACCGTCCATAACCCCTGGCACTGGTTTAAGAAGTATTCAACATTTAAACATAAAATGATAAAATTTAGAACTTTGAAACATCGGCAAATGTGTTCATGTGGCTATTTACAGTGTATAGAGTATAAATAAATGACAATGAATATGTTTTATTACAGGTGTCAGGTGACAAGACATTCCAAGTGAAAACTCGGTTCGACACGGAGGTAGAGCTTGTGTATTTCAGAAATGGAGGCATCCTCAACTACATGGTTCGAAAAATCCTAAACGCTTAGAAAACTTTTCCGGTGCTAAATCAAAATTATTGTACTACATATACCAAATGGAGTCATGGTTACATACTATTTTGTCACTTTAGTGCAATAACGGATTTACACCTATTTATAGGAATGAACACGTTATTGCACTAAGGTGACAAATTATCAGTTGCATGTATATCAGCGGAAACTGTAATAGAACTAGCTCATCATTTTTCGCACATAATCAGTGAGATTGGATTGATATTTTCGTTACTTGTATTAGATTTATATAATTGTTGTACATCATGAATGATGTTGTATTTTGTAACTTGTATACATGTTAATGGTATTAGATATGTAACTGGTTGACTGTATAAATGGTGTAAAATTGAACGGTGGTATACCTAATAACTTGTATTATATTTATTATTTGTATACCATATAATTGCTAATAGTATATTTGTGATTGGTAGATCTGGTTAACTATTTGAATGGTGAAATATTTTGTTAACTGTACAAGTGAGTTATAGTTGGTAAACCTTGTTAATGCTTTAGCTTTAAAGATCCTGTAACACATTTTTTATGGTTTTATTTCATAAATATGATGCTCAAATTAAGATTTCTCATTGCAAGTTCCAATAAGCATTATTTATAAAGATATTATCAAATTTAACATTTCATGTAAATAAAGGGAGGTAATCTATTTTCTACATATTTTAAGTCAAATTTTCCAACAAGAAATGAATGGATATAGTTTATTTATTACATATAATATGCACAAACATTTGAAGTACATATTTTACATATTCTTCTATGTTTAAAAATTGTTTTATTTGCATAATTATATACATATATTATTTCTTGTAAGTGTGGTACACACACAATAACAATATCAATCACAAAACATACAGGATCTTTAAGAAATACTATAGAAGTCATTTGAAGAAAAAGTCGAGATAATGTGATCACTTGCTTGTTGTCATCAATCTATGTGTACTGTTGGAATGTTTGCTGGGCAGTAGTTTTACAAGGGACATTATTGTGAAAGCTTATATTTTCTGAGTAATGCCCCTTTTTTAAGTTTCGAATTTTATTTTCAATGCTCTTGTCATAACAATGTGATTACTGGTACAATTACTGGAAATTTTCTTCTCTGTAACAGATGTATTACTTTATTGATAACTGATTAGATTATTGTGTTTGTGGTTGCTGTGCTGTGCTGTACAGCCAGTAAAAAGACAGTGTTTGAATTATTGTACGCAAGTGTTGTCAGTTGTAAATGTTAAAGAATGGTTCTTTGTAATGAAGTGTTGGCTTTAATCTTAAATTAAGACTGATTTATTTTGATTGCAAATGTTTGTTAGGAAGAATGATAATACTTAACAATGACCTTGATTTTTGTAGCATTATAACTTCTTTGAAATAAATGATTGTTTAAAATTTTTAAAATGCAAAATATGAGTATGTTTGTCAGTGTGTGCCTTTGTTGATCATGTTGAAAAATAGCCAACTTATTCATTGGTTACAAATTGTAGATTCAAGTTTTTAAATTGAATTTGTTGATTCTTAAACATAAACCCTTTCATACAAAAAATAATAAATTTGAGCAGGCCATAATAAAGAATACAGACATACTGCATGGATTTGCTGGCTTTCCAGGCTATAGCAGGTGATATTCTTTATAATAAATTGAATTATTTAATTAAGATTGAATTAAATCAACAACAAAAACACAGGAAGTAAAGGTGACTCGTCTATTCAAATTTTGACATTTTTTGTGTATCATCCTCAACAAAAGTTTTGATGGAGAAAATTGAATACAGAAACTTTCAAATTAACAAAATGTATGTCCTCAATTTGTATGTTTGGTATACCTTTATAATGCTATAGCTTTAAGAAATACTATAAAGTAAAACATCTGTTAAAGCCAGTAAAAAGACAGTGATTGAATTATTGCACCATTAACCGGTTTAAACTCCCCAGCAGTCATTATTATGCTACTGACCGTTCCAAGGCGGCGCCCCTCTGTGTTCCTTAGATGTATGTCTATGTTGTTTCATACTGTTTTGGCGACACTTATGCTTGTGTCCCTTGTTGTTTTCTCGTCTACGGTAAGTATCTTCCCCATTGCCTATAGTTTTGATTTCTTTGATTACCCCCCCCCTTTCCCCCGGTCTCCTGTCCCCTTACCCATTGTGGGCCTATTATTATTTTCTTTGAATTCCTAATCAGTTCCAAATTATTAATCATTTAATGATTAACCTGTCCGTGCTCTGTCTTTGCCCTGTCACGTTTTTGTTTGGGGTCCGCCTGGGCTCCTTACCGTTGGTTCTTGTTGCTGGGTCATATGTGGGTTGCGTTCATTGAACGCCGCCTTTCCTCGTTGAACTTGTTGATCATATTTCGTGTGGATGTACATTTATATAAGATAAATATATTGAATTACTTAAGAGGGCTTGTTCTTTATTATGCCACACCTGCTAGAAATTTAAAAAAATGTAGTTGCAAGTGATATCCCGATCAATGTTATTCAAAACCATCTTACCTATATTACATTATGCTCTTATTAATAACTAGGAATCAAGACATCTTACCTATATTATATTATGCTCTTATTAATTACTCGGAATCAAGACATCTTAACTTTATTACATCATACTCTGATTAAAAAACTCGGAATCAAGACATCTGACCTCTATTACTTCATGCTTTTATTAATAATTCAAAATAAAGCCATCTGACCTATATTATATCATGCCCATCTTAATAATTGGGAATTAAGACATCTGACCTAAATTACATCATGCTCTTATCAATCACTCAGAATCAAGGTATCTTACCTTTATTACATTATGCTCTTACAATCAAGACATCTGAACTCTATGACTCATGCCCTAATCAATAACTAGGAATCAGGACATCTGACCCATGTATCATCATGCTCTTATTTATAACTCGGATTCAAGACATCTGACCTATATTACATCGTGCTCTTATTAATAACTCGGAATCAAGACATCTGACCTGTACTTTATCTTACTCTTATTAATAACTCGGAATAAAGACATCTGACCTATATTACATCATGCTCTTATAATTCTTATAAATTACTCGGAATCAATACTTCTGACCTATATTACATCATGCTCTTATAAAGAACTCTGAATGAAGACATCTGACCAATATAACATCATGCTCTTATTAATAACACGGAATCAAGACATCTGACCTATATTACACCATGCTCTTATTGATAACTCGGAATCAAGACATCTGACCTATATTACATCAAGCTCTTATTAATAACTCGGAATCAAGACATCTGACCTATATTACATCATGCTCTTATTAATAACTCGGAATCAAGACATCTGACCTATATTACATCATGCTCTTATAAATAACTCGGAATCAAGACATCTGACCTATATTACATCATGCTCTTATTAATAACTCGGAATCAAGACATCCGACATATATAACGTCAAGCTCTTATTGATAACTTGGAATCAAGACCTCTGACCTATATTACATTTTACTCTTATTTAAAAGTCTTAATCAAGACATCTGACCTATAATACATCATGCTCTTTTTAATAACTCGGAATCAAGACATCTGACATATATAACGTCAAGCTCTTATTGATAACTTGGAATCAAGACCTCTGACCTATATTACATTTTACTCTTATTTAAAAGTCTTAATCAAGACATCTGACCTATAATACATCATGCTCTTTTTAATAACTCGGAATCAAGACATCTGACCTATATTACATCATGCTCTTATTAATAACTTGGAATCAAGACATCTGACCTATATTACATCATGCTCTTATTAATAACTCAGAATCAAGACATCTGACATATATTACATCATGCTCTTATTAATAACTCGGAATCAAGACATCTGACCTATATTACATCATGCTCTTATTAATAACTCGGAATCAAGACATCTGACCTATATTACATCATGCTCTTATTAATAACTCGGAATCAAGACATCTGACCTATATTACATCATGCTCTTATTAATAACTCGGAATCAAGACATCTGACCTATATTACATCATTCTCTTATTAATAACTCGGAATCAAGACATCTGACCTATATTACATCATTCTCTTATTAATAACTCGGAATCAAGACATCTGACCTATATTACATCATTCTCTTATTTATAACCCGGAATCAAGACATCTGGCCTATATAACATCATGCTCTTATTAAAAACTCCGAATCCAGACATCTGACCTATAGAAAAGCTGAATCATATCATTAAAGCAGGTTGAGATAACATATCTGAAATAGTTTATATTTAAAGAAAGTACCACTTATCAATAAGATAAAAATTTGTATCGCAGTTTTAATAAGATTGTTTGAATTTTAAAATATAATATGAGAGTCTTAATTGGATCGATTACTATTCAAATACAATGTTACAGTATAAATAAAATGGTTGAAGGGACGGAAGTTCGTAAAATATCATGATCTTCAGAATCATTCGTACAATTCCAATTAAGTGACTTTTACAGGGTAGCATTTAGAAAGTGGGTTGACCGCCAAAGACGATGCATCGAATTTTATGGGGAATACTTTAAAAAGTTGTGAAAACGTGCGTGACGCTGTCAAATTATGACGGTGACGTGAACGTCATGCCTTTATGGTGCACAATTGCAGCTGTGATTGCAATTTCTTTTGTTGCTTGTAAAGTGGCATTTGCTTTTTATGTCATAATTTGTTTAACTGTCAGTAGACAAATGGTTGATGCAAAGAAGTCTGTAGTTTTAGTGTTCTTTTGCAACCTATATGTATAATTAAATACGACATGACAGGTTTTATTAAGTCGGTTGAAATTTTAAGTTGATATCACAGTCTTTATTAGATTATTTTAAATTTAAATACATTATGACTGTCTTAATTACATCGATTAATACCTTTAGGTGAATATACATGAGTATAGAATATGTTAAATCATTAACTGCATTCCTTCGCCTGTTATCGGTCCAGTTGAAGCTTGATGTTTTTTGGACGAACTGAACAGTTATAGAATTTTTAGTGCTTAACTTAAATCTGGTTATCTAATCTTACTATACAATGTACAAGTATTCAAAAATACCGTTGACTTTTGCAGACGAAAAAGGTGCTACCTGCTGTAAGTTCTTTACCACATCTAATTTAACGGGAAATAGCAATCCCAAGTTCGGCAAATAATATTTGGCAATACGTAGACACAGACCAAACGTTTTCAACAGTTTTATTTTCTAGAAGTCATAGATAATCGATATAAGTCCCCACACAGCAATCATATACAAACACCAACAGTATATTTTTTCTAGATGTTTAATGAAGAAGCATACAATATACAATTGATTTACAGTTTTCACACAATACTTGTACACCATGAAGAACGAAAGTATATATTTGTCAAAACATTTAATATAGACCTTTTAACATTACGATTTTTTCCCTAGCAACGCATGTTGCATTTCGCGCATGCGCATTCTGTGAAGGGCAAAAGTACAATAACGATAGAATACATTTTAGAGTACTTAAAGGCTTTAAAAGTGTGATTTCAGGTTATGTCACCCAGAAAAAAGAAATTTTGGGATGAATTAAAGTGGTAAGTAATTGATATTTATAACAGATAAACAAAATTAGCGGAATTTAAAATTCAACCACCAAAAGTCCTCTGTTCAAGGTATCATAAGTTGACTTTTTCACCAGTAAGTTACATTAAAAAAGCAGAGTGTTAAAGATCACATTTTATTACCCGTGTATTATATAATATTATACATTGCTATTCCTTTGAAAGTGAATTGGCTGCCAGGAGGTGTCAAACAGATTTACACATAACCGGTTGTTATTTGCCACTTTGTTATAATATCATTCCGGGTCGTTTTAGTACCATTACATAGTTAATTACTTAAAGCTATGAAGATGATTAATTATAATTTTAGTAACTTTTATTTATACCAATCTCATTAATATTTATTGAATTTTTCAAGTGACAAATAGTGTATTGTGGCGTGCATTTCCATGTGATTTAAGAAACCGTATAAAATGGGTGATATTACATCATCCATCCTTACTTTTCAAGAGTGTGAAAAATTATTTAAATATATATTTGACTTAAAAATTTCTGTTTGGCATCTCAGTCAAGTCAGATAAAGGATAAAAATGGCTAAACTGAACACTAAAAATGCATTATATCACGTGTTCCGACTTTTCTTTTTCAGAATGATAATTGACCTCAATTTTAAATGTTATAAAATTTATATAGAAATTTTATATATTTTATGTTATAAAATAGTTTTATATGACAATTTTATGGTGGCATATTTCTGCCACCAGATAACCTGATAATTAACTAGTTAATTATCAGGTTAACTAGTTACGTAACTAGTTAATTTTTTCAATAAAGAAAATATCATAACGGAAAATAAATGCATGTTTGTGCCCGCAACTGCCATCTCTTATTGTCAACTTAATATTAAGAGGTTAACTAGTTACGTAACTAGTTAACCTGATAATTAACTAGTTAGTTAATAGGTTAACTAGTTACATAAATACTTAACTAGTTAACCTCTTAATAAACTAGTTAATTATCAGGTTAACTAGTTAAGTATTTATGTAACTAGTTAACCTAATAATAAACTAGTTAATTAAGAGGTTAACTAGTTACATAACTAGTTAACCTCTTAATTAACTAGTTAATTATCTTTAAATTTAAAGACAGAAGTAAAAAAACAGAAAATGAATGCAAAATACATTTTATTCAATGTTGTAATTTAACATAAAGGTATAAAGTAATTCAAACAACCATTTAAGCTCGTTTACTGTCATATCTTTGAATTGCAACTTAAGAATAAAACTAGCAACACTAACAAATGATAGTGAACTCTCACACAAAATACATAGGGCATTGCACAAATCAAGATGTGCATGCATTAAGTATGTTTAATTACTGGTATCATTTAAACACGCACGATTCATATAAAATCGTAAGCATATAATGAATATATCAAATAACACAAAAAAGGTAATTGCACAAATGTTCCATAAGGCATTTTAATCAATGATATAATTTAAACACGCATCCAGGAGAGCGTGAACATTGGATACCGGGCCTATCGATATTATCCTGATCTATGCTCCTGACGAAGATGATGATTTACTTTGTTTTGATTTGTCATTTCTCAATGTGTGTAATAAAGTTTGACGTTTGTGCAGTAAACTCGACTGAAATATCAGAAGTACCTAAATTAAAGGTATTATGAAGCCCCTTTATGACACGTGTCGCACGTGTTGCCAATTCATGGATGTAAAAGTGTCAGTTTTGGATTGGTCCCTTCATTCCATTCTTTAATTGCATAAAAGAGTACAATATGTATAGCAACATTTGACTAAATGCTCTATGTAAAAAAAGTATTATGCTTCACCGAGATGTGTTTAGCATTATAGCAGTTACCTAATATTATGAAGATTTTATATACTTAAAGTGTCTTTTTCATTATTGACAAACTATGTTGTGTTTTTCAAAGTTTTTTTTAGTCCTATGTTTTTGGACATACTAAAAGAGAAAGATATTCTGTTACAAACAAATATAACATTGCATGGTTTACGACATTATTCATTTCTTGGTGTATTTGTATACCTTCCTGTTAAGGTAATGATTTGTGTATCGACGAGTACATGGAATGTTGTAAAGTTATTAATCAATACTTTCCATATCTTAATGGACAGGTGCCACAGGGTTGGTGGTTATAATAAGATACATCAATAAACCCTTTGATTAGTTTATGTTTTATAACATGCCTTTTCATGGGTCAGTACAAATGATTACGTTTCATTTAGGTATGTATATTGTTTATATCAAATAGGATATGTATTAGTCAGACAATGAAAGTCTTAACGTTCAAAGGCTCTGGACAAATAGACAGATACACAGGAAATTGACCCGATGCTGTTAGATACGTGCAATAAACAAGGGAATATCTTGCCGCTCATGCCAAAATGCTATTTTCGCTAAAAATAACCTTATTTTCGTATTTTGGTTATACCCCGCTCATAAGTGGACAGTACGGGTATTCCGTATTAAATATTTATTTATAGATAAGTGATAACGGGTTTACTAGTTACGTAACTAGTTAACATATTAAATAACTAGTTAGTTAAGAGGTTAACTAGTTACGTAAAAACCTATCTAGTTAACCTGTTAATTAACTAGTTAATTAAGAGGTTTACTAGTTACATTTTTACGTAACTAGTTAACCTCTTAAATAACTAGTTAATTAATAGGTTTACTAGTTACGTAAATACCTAACTAGTTAACCTCTTAATTATCTAGTTAGTTAAGAGGTTAACTAGTTATGTAAATACCTAACTAGTTAACCTGTTAATTAACTAGTTAATTAAGAGGTTAACTAGTTACGTAACTAGTTAACCTCTTAATTTTAAGCTGATAATATAATAAAAGGATGGCAGTTGCAGGCACTAACATGCATTTATTTCCCGTTATGATCTTTTAATTATTGAAAAAAATAACTAGTTACGTAACTAGTTAACCTGATATCTTACTAGTTAATTAAGAGGTTAACTAGTTACGTAACTAGTTTACCTCTTAATTAACTAGTTAGTTATCAGGTTATCTGGTGGCAGAAATATGCCACAACAACGATTAAATTAAATTTTTTATTTGCTAAAATATATTTTTCTACCGTTTTTATAACATTAATCTCAATGTCAAGCAAGTGATCGTAAGGGGGAATTCTTAAACACTCGTCTTTTCCATGTTTTTTGGGCAATCTTGGTCACAAAGCTATAAAGGCATCTGTTGTGTTTCTGAAAAAAAGCTATTTAATATGATTTTCTAATTTTACCTTAAACTAACTCGAAATTGTTTATGAATTTGTACTACATTTCTATTTAGAGCGATGCTCTTTTTGCCCTACGAAAATTGCGCATGCTTGAAAAAATACTACTTCTGGTCATTTTTCATAGCAACGGACCGCGTCGTAAAAAGTCCATAGAACCATAAATTTATATATATAATTCCTTTACAAGTTTCACATATTAACCATATACTAAAAAAGTATATATTGTCTATGCATGTAATTCAGATGCATATAATATACAAATGTTTTACAGTTTTCACACAAAAATTAGTCAACATGAAAGTATGTATTTGTCTAGGTATCTAACATAGAAGCATACAATATAGTCACAATTGTTTTACAGTTTTTTACACAACAATTATACATGATGAACGATGAAAGTTTATATTTGTCAGCACATTTGATGTAGAACCATACATAATACAATTATTCAACATGAAAGTATATATTTGTCAGCACTTTTGATGTAGAAAGATATATACAAAAGCAGTCGGTAGGACAGCAACGCTCGACAAGTCTAAGTGCTTTATAGCAAAGGAGCCTTGATAATGTAAAATTTGTTCAAGGTGGTACGCAAACTTAAATATAAATTCTAAGTTAAAAAAGGGGAATAATTCTGTCAAAATGTTTGATACAGTTAATGCTTGCTCCTCCTGTCTACAGGTTTGGTTATGATGGTGAAAAATTTGCAAAGTTTCAAAGCCATGTGTCAATGGCCTTTGAAATATTTGAAGTGTTACAAAAACATTAAGTGGTTAAGCCGACGCCAACGCTCGGGTGACTACAATAGCTCTACTTATTCTAATTGAATAGTCGAGCTTATAATACGATTGTTTTACATATTTCTTACACAACAACCATTCACTATGAAAGTATATACATGCATTGATCTAGGCGATTAATGTTAAACCATACAATATACAATTGTTTTTACCATTTTCACATACCAATCATAAGCGATGAAAATATATATAAAATATAAAGATATTACCATACAGAATGCAATAAAAATATGTGTAAATATGCAACAAGATACGTGAAATTGACTGGTGAATGATAATGCATAATAACATAACTACTTGTATTAGTAATTGGACTACATTTTGTCAAATGTCTAATTCGAATTAAACCATAGTTTAAAATGTGAAAGAATTACCTTATTTTTTCAGAATTGCAGGTCTACCTCACAGGAATAAGACACTTTGATCTGATATTCAGGGATTTCTCTTTGCCCTTTTCATAGCCGATCTTCGACCATATTCCCAATTGACTATAGTATATTATTTTTCTAATCCACAAGACACAATTCCCATTTAAAAGTTACAAAATAAAAATATTTAATTCGAAGTTCTTCCATTTTTTTTAAATAAGGGTCTTTTCAATGTTATGGTGCTTAGACGTATGAAGATATTATCCTAGACAGTGATTGTTTGCAATCATTTAATCACTTATTACTAGTAACTGTTTTGGCCTAGCTCATTTGGTCAGGCCCCTTGTTCACAAAAAAAAACAGATCAGGGTCAGGATCAAATGATCCTGATTTTGTTTTCATTGTTTTATCAAATTAAAACTGATCGTATTAAGCTAGGCTTTTTAAAAATTTCTTTATTCGTACAGTAGCTTATTTTTCGTTTATTAATAAAACACATTTTTGTAGGAAACACAAAGAAAGTTGTGTTGAATATAAAATATTAGAATGCTTCCAGCTTTTCATTGAAAAAAAAAAATATTATAAAAAAATTCTAACAAAAAACAAAATATACATTTAAACACAAAAAGTTGGATTTTTTTTTTTTTTTAAATTTCGTTTTGTAACGTGATTACCTGCTGAAAAAGGATATTATATTGTCTGAAAAGGATAATAATATTTCAATTGATTATATGATGTCAAGTTATTTTATGATATAACATACATATTTTCCGGGGCCCTGAAATTTTAAAGTTTAAACGTGATAATTTTTCTGTCACGTGGGTAATATTTCTTACTATGAATTTCTATGATACTAGTCAAAAAACTGGGAACTTAAAAAAAACTAAAAATAAATATCTACACATAGTAATCAAAAATTAAAATTTTTATTAAAACAGTCTAAAAACAAAAAAAAAATGTTTGATTTCTTAAAAAAAGTTTTTTTTGGTGTACGATCATTCAATTTCTAATTTATGAAAAACTTCTTTTTATTACTTTTTCTTTTTCTTCTTATCATTTAAATTTAAAGACCGTTCTCAATGACAAACGGCCTTCAACCCCATAATGGACGTGTCCACACCAACCTCTGATGTGATTTTCACAATTCGTGCCTGGCGTCCCATAGTATCCATTTAGATAGGCATAACTACAGCCATTATACCACCAAGCTCCATGGTCCTCCACGGCACATTTTCCACTTCTTGTGTCAAGATCACGGTCGTAAGTTGTAAATGGCATTTGATTATTATAAGCAAAGCTATATTCTGCAACTAGGAATAAAAGATTATATTAATTAATTCTAGCTCTGTCATTGTCACATTACGGCAAGACAGTTTGTATGTTGACAAGCTCAAATTCCATAAACAACAAGTTACTATCCCTACAATCATACAAAACACATCATCCGGTTCATCGCAGATGTTATAGATTGTGGCAAAGCAGATCCAATATCAGGTCAGTAAAACCACAAGTATTTGCCATTTAGCTTTTTGGTTTTCTAAAACAGTCAGTGGGAAACTTTGCTCTATCAGAGACCAGGTTAATTAGTCTGCGACTGAATGTAGATTGTAATGATAAGCGTTATATTGTGCATATTTACTGCTTTCTTCACAAATATATTGAAATTATCATAACATTATGTATAAACGAACACCCTAAGACGATCTCTTAATTGTCAGAATAGTAAAATTTAATATTTTATATCAAGCAAAATATAGCAACATTAAAAATTCAGACATGAATTGGTTCTGCTATAAATAAGAGAGGAATTGCCAATCTGATTATTAAACTATTCTTTTGTTATTGTAATATTATTGTCTTTTATTGGTTTAAAACCTGTATAATTAAAAGAAACTCTACGCCAATGAAACGAATAACATTGAAAAAGAGTTATGGTTTCAAAACATGTAAGATGATTGTAACCTAACGAAAGTAGCGATAAATGTGAAATTATTTGTCATTGCCCTTTTCAAAAACCGTTTTACGGTACTTTACGTATTTAGCTTAGAGGAATTACACCAAATACACTTACATAACACAATTACATGATATGTCTATCTTTCTCTCATTTTTTACTGTTTAATATGAAAAAACTTGATGTGTTTGAAAATTATCAATGTTCCTTTAAAATCTATTGCAATTTTTTCCCAAAAAATGTTAATAATGAAAATCAATAAAATTAAAACAGCCGTAGTGGCATCTTCCAAAATAAAAAAGAGATATTTTCTGCGTAAATTTGTGTTTTTACTTTATTTGTTTGTATGGAATTATTCATACAATGGTATTAAATTATTTTCTTACAAAGAAATAACTGTTTTATTTCACTTTAATTAAAAAAGACCATAATTGAGTTCGTTATTACACTCCATTCGGCGAATTTCCCTGAGCTATGTACAGAAAAAGACGGAAAATGGCGTTCAGCAAGATTTGCGATTCGTGAATAGACGTAGACACAAAATATAAAATATAAAATTATAATCTACTATTTTTGTACTTATTGCCAAAACCAACAGATAAAACTGATGGTTCAAGTTATCAGCTAATGACTCGTGTTCTGGAAATACAAATGTTTTGAGGAAAAAAATCAAGGCATAATTTGCCTTTATAACTGTTTAATCTATGTTACATTACGAATCAAATAGTCGTGAGAGATTATGTTTGCTAGCCTAAGTTTTACTATGAGATTGAATTTGTTTTTGTCTCATACTGTAACAGCAGCTGTCAAACGCTTATTTTGTATTGGTTTTAGGGCTTTGTGCTTTCATATAGCTAATCGAATAAAAAGTAAATGATCAAAATATAATAAAAGAAAAAGAGAAATGGTATATCAGCATAAAAATCTTACACTTGAATCTAACGTTTATGCATGACCCAATGTTTAGTTTATAATTTGTTCCTTCTGTTAACATAAAGTCTGGACAAGTTTCATGACCTGTTGTACTATCACGTCTTGTCATGTCAAGACGAATCTCTGTAGAACCTTGTTCAGCTAGTTCTTGTAGATACTTTAAACCTGCGAAAATATATCAAATGTAAATATAAATATTCAGAACTTTACCAAGATATTTAATAGAATTCAGTCTTCAACATTTCATACTACACAATTACACACCCTTACAATCAAAATAACATTGCGTTCTATTCATAGACGTTTAAACCTGTCTGGTTGCCTTATACATTTAACTTCAACTATTTATGTTTATCAATATACTTCAACAACTTATGTTTATCAATACACTTTGACAACTAAATATGTGTATTGATATACTTCAACAACATATGTCTATCAGACTGTAATTCATTGCAGATGAAAGGAATCCATCATATGTTAGTGTTGAAATATCGTTATTTATACGAGTATTAAAACCAAGCAATATACTCAGTATGCCTGAAAATTGGAATAAAATGCAATTTGATATGACGTCTATTTGGCACTATCTGACTGGTAATTCGTACTGAACAAAAATACCTCATCAGACTTCAACAACTTAACATGTTTATCAATAAACCTCAACAACTTATGTTAATCAAAACACACTTCAACAACATTTGTCTATCAATTGACTTCAACAACTTAATATGTTTACCAATACACTTCAACAACTTATTTTAGCAATGCATTACGGTCAACAAGAAAAACTCTGAGTGTATTCGCTAATTAAACTTATTGTTTACTGTCAGCAAAAATATTTCTTATACTCTCTATTGTACCTTAGGTGACTACGCAATAACTGTACTACATTTGTTTTAAAATGCCAATGCTATAAGGAATGAAATTATTTTTCATACCTAGCCAAAACTCTCCATCAACGTTCCCAAAGCAATTCTCATACTCAGTAAAGTTGCGATAAAAGTCCACTGACCCGTCTATTCGCCTATGAAATAGCTAGAATAAACGCAAACAGGTTGAGCGCTTACGGATGTTTATAAGTAAACTCCGCTTATAACGAACTTATTGGGACATTCAAAATCTGTTCCTTATATCCGGAGTTCCTTGGAAGCATATAGCGAATTAGTCCCTTGTATCAGGAGATTTTTAAAGCGAACAAATTTACATATAATAAATTGATTGTTTCCTATCGTCCTCCATTTTGAAGAGCATTTATTTAAGAAAATTAGTCATTCATTTCTTTTTAAGACACAATACACGAGAGCGTACTTTTTGGATTTTGAAAATTCTTTGCTATTTCAGTTTTTGTTTTACTCCTTAATTCTCAATTGCTCATAAATTATTATACTTTGTTTCTAAACTCAGTGCTTTTCGTTTTCTTTCCTTGATTAATAATAAACAAGATTTTCGATTTTCTTCCGAGTTTTAATCCGTACCAATGAAAATTAAAGTTGAAAATGCGGGATATATTTACGAATAGCCGATATTTTGGAGTTCGTTTGTTATAAAAGTGTTATTTTCTGTTCTTTTAACTAAATTGGGACTAAGAAATGAGTTCCTTATAAGCGACAATGCGCTATAACCTTGTTCGCTTTAACCGCATATTTTTATATTAAATAATGAAGGGCAAAATTCTGGCCGAAATAAATTGTTCCTTACAACCGGAAGTTCGCTTTAACAGTATTCGTTATAAGTGAAGTTTACTGTATTAATTAAAATTATTTTAAGTGTTTAACGTCAGTTGTCTATAGCTAAGGGTTATATTTCACTTTCAAAAGGAAAGATGGACAAAAGTTTTTTATCTTTAATTTGCTGTTAGGAACAGACCTTCTGTACGTCTTATCATTTATCTGCCCTATTACAATTGACTCATTGACTTCAATACGTGATTGTACACTTTATAACATGCATTTCTGTAAATACTGAAATCATTTCACAGTGAAATGATGAAATATAAGTTACCAAGCAAGCAGACTGTAATTGAATGCGGATGAAAGGAATCCATCATATGTTAGTGTGGAAATATCGTTATTTATACGAGTATTAAAACCAAGAAATATACTCTGTGGAATTTTACAGCGAAAGTATGCCTGAAAATTGGAATAAAATGCAATTTGATATGACGTCTATTTGGCACTATTTGATTGGTTATTCGTACTGAACAAAAATATCACATCACGAGTTAAATGAATGTTATCATGTGAGTATGTGAATCAGGAAAGAACAATTTGCTAATCAAACATTGGAATAAAAGAATCTTCATACCGTCCAACCTCCGCCTTCGGTTTCCATGTCACAATTCACGGTCAGAATCTTCCCAGATTTCCATAGTTCTATCTCATATTGTCCACTTTTCGCCTCAGGAGCCTTATCAAGGACTTCTTTACAATCACTTGGTACTAGGCAAAGATCAAAACAGTATTTGTAACAAGAATGAATGATTCATGCAAGTGTTTTTACAATTAATTCCATAAATTGTGTAAATAAAAACATCAAAAGTGACGTTTATCTATTATACACTTTTGTCATAATGTTTATACATGGTTGTAAATCTTACCATACCTAAGGTCTTTTTATGACGTAATATCGACCTCGGCACAAAAATCAAATTGCAATTTTCCAGGGAGGTAATGTAACAGTGAAATCATTCTTATTTTCTATGACAAGTATTGCGACATTGCCAATTTTTCTATAGCCATGTTCCTTTCTACAGTATAAAACTTTTTAGTAAATGTTTAGTTCAAGTTGCAAACTTTACATGTAAGTTAGAAAACAAAGTTGAAGGTAGAGTTAGGGAGTAGTCAAAAATCAGAAATTTTGCTTAAAATTGAAGAACTGAAGATGTAATTAAGATTTTCTTAAACTCACCTCCGAATAGAAAATCTGTCATCGAAGACTATCATTTCATTTCGAAACGATAATAAAAACAATATCAGTAGAAATTTTGCTTAAATAAGCCAAAAAAGGGAAGAAAGTTATCATCTAATAATGTTGTTTTATTTTTTATAAAAGTTATAATATTCTAAAAAATAATATACCGTTTGTAAGATCTGTACTAATTCTAAAGTAATCATAGTGGCAATGTACCTTTCTGTTTTTCATTACTTACTATTGGGAAAAACAAAATTCATAGCTTGATTAAATAAAAGAATTAACTGTCTGAAAGACATCATCCAATATATCCTCTAATTTTCTGTTTATATATAAGAACATTTAGATAATAAAATATTTATTTATTTGAATAATCATTTTAAGTGCCAAGGGAAATGTTTTGAAAGACGATCTCGCAAGTAAGACAACTTTTATTCTGACGTCATGGCTAATTTAGAAAAAGTATAAAGAAAAGAAAAAAACAGCAATATTTAAATACGTTACATTTTTCTTTCGTGCACGTTGCAGACTGCCATTGTCCCGAAGCCTTACATTTCACGTCTTGTTGACTAGGAACATATCCTTCGTCACATTTTACTTGAGCTACGTCGAGAAACTTGTTTTCGTCAGGAGTTATAGTCTGTATTTCACCATTTTCAATTTTCTGATCAAAAGCACAGGCTGGAAATAATAATAATAATAATAATAATAATAATAATAATAATGTATTGTCTGAACAATAATTAATACTTTACAAATAAAATGCCAATTTCTGAATGATCTTTTTTGAAAATGTAACGTTTAATTATAAATTGTGATCAAGTATCCTATGTTATATCTATGTGAACATATAGTTTCTTGTTGGCAAATGTGCTACGTGTATAATGCGTTTTATTTTTCAATTATTTTGTAATTGCTTCGTTTGTTAATCTTATTTGTTATACTCAAAAAAGAAAAACACAAATATACGATTTTTACTTGATGTCTGATTATAATTGGTAACTATCGTTTGTATGTCTTTCTATTTTAAGTGCTCCAGTTGATCTACATAAGAAATTCTAATTTTATGATTTTTAGACTTTTGGACATCAGTGGAGTTCCCTCAGTACGTAAACGTATCAGTCGGGCGGATTTAAGAAGTGCCCTCTTTTTACTATAAAGCATTCTTTTGTACATGTCTTCACTCTTCAAGGACTATACTTTTTAGAACATGACATCTATCAAACAAAAACTATTGCGTAAATATTTCTTGTCAAACAAAAACTATTGCGTAAATATTTCTTGAAAAATTATACAACATTTAATTCAATAACAAATAAAAGTGTAAAAATAAAAGTTTTTACATACATGTAATTATGTCTTTGCACACATGTGAAGCACCATTTTGGTAACATCTTTGGGTCGCTTTACACGGCCTTGAGCCACAACTTCCAACCATAGACTATTAATAGAAGGAAAATATAAGTAACATTCGTAAATTGTTTTGTTTAATTACAAGAACTACTAGTATTAAAATGTGTATTTTCTAAATGAGACACAATAAGGTAAGCTCTACCTATGATTTTATATTATTGGCAATAAGTGAAAGAGAACCTACTGAGATGATTCCTCGAAACATAATTATTTGCACAATTAAATGTTAAGTCATGAAAATATCATTACCGTTACAAACATGAAAAAAGCAATGTTACTTTAAACTTTAAATGTAAGACTACAATCAAAATTGTGTCATTTCTGTTTCCAACAGTTGTACATATCGTATCAAGTAATAAATTGAGATACTTACGCTAGGCCATTCGCTGATATCAGAGAATATAGAGCCTTGTTTTGTTTCAAACTCCGACGGATCAACGGACGACTGGTCAACATCGTTTAATTTACACACGTGCTCGTTTCGGTCAAAGTCGATCGATTTACAGACGGACATTGCCATACAGGTTTGCGCACAATTGTAGTGGTTTGTATCATTAACTGCGAGAATAGAATGACCGATCAAGGCTGTGTTGATATTTTCCTTGCTTATTTTAAATGAACTGCATGTGTTTGAGTAAACTGTTCCGAATAAAAACGCGTTAATTATTATAATTCCAGCAGTCAAAGCCATTGTATTAAAACTAAAATGTTTTTTTGTTATTAGCCAACAGATATATAAAAATGAAAAGGCGACCGTATCTAAAACACAGAAAAGTCCCGTCTCTATGGTATGTTAAATGTGCACTATATATACGAGTAAGGCAGGTTCACGTAAAATGTAAAAAAACACGCCCTCGTTATTGATCTTTGGTGAATCGTCCAATCTAATACTAGTCCTATATAATTCATCAAATACATATCAACGAAGTGTTTTTTTTGTTTTTGTTTTCATATCAAGTGACTTTCGCAAAAGTAATTCTATCTGACGTTTTTATTGTGTAGTTGGCTTGTAATTCAAAACTAAAAAAATCTATGTTGTAACAGAGGAAATGAGTCCCATATGATTATGACAATAACGGTAATTATTTTTCAAACAACATTGACTCCCCTTTGAAACTATATTATAAGTAAATCATATAATATCATGACCTCTCCATCAAACGAGAATGACCCCATTGGTAGCCCTTAGTATGTACATAAACGAATGTTCAATAAGATTTGTGTTTTGTTTCGACGTTCTGTACGCTAGCTGGATAGTTTCCACACATGAAAGAATCTAAAGTCCCTGTCTGGATTCGAACCTACAACAGAGAGAGGCAAGTGGTTTTAAGACAACAACCCCAACCACTCGGCCACGAACGCCCAATAGAAATGAAAACCAGCGCGGCGTAAGTTGACTATTAATCTAATTAATTTATCCGTTAAATCGTATAACTTCAGTGTAATTCTATGCAAACTAGATAATTCAAATGATATTCACAGTTCATTGTTTGTTTGTTTGTTTGTTTGTTTGTTTGTTTTCCATTCTTTCCTTTCTTTTCTTTTGACGTGAGCAGTTTTTGTCATCACTGTAAAATTCAGTGCGTAAATAAAAGCCGAGAATTTGGCAAAACGACATCGCTGTGAAATGTTTATGCCCTGATAAAATGTTTAGGAATGTTTTCATAAAATATACAACAGCTGCCTCATAAAACAGTTTTTTATCATAGGACGTATATTTCATTTGTGCAATCAGTGTTATTTAATTTCATAACATTCAAATTTATTATTAAAATGTAATATTTCAGTCAAAATGTCATTTCGAAACTCATAGACCTGTGATTTATTTGTGATAAGAATGGTTAAGTGTACATGTAGATTTAAAAACGAAACGTTTTGAAATATGCATATGTTTTTAATTGCGTTCTTCTAAAACCAGCTTCGCTCGGGATGTACATTAATTAATAAGTGAAAAGCTATAAGGCACTTTAATATGGCAATTGAAAAGATGAGATAGTTTTGATGAATATCTCTTGGGTTGGGCTTAATTTTAATTTGTATTAATTTTAGAGCATATCAATTCTGTTGTGAGGTAGTGCAAATGAGATTCTTGTTTTAAAAATGTCTCGGAAACCGACCTTGCACAAATTCTCAATGAAAAAAATCAGATTCACAATGGCCGAGCTGGAGAGCCAATCAAAATTCTCCAATCTCATTATATCCGAGTTTCCTCATAAAGGTCGTAAATGGGGCATAATTACCTTGTTTGATGTTCATAATGTCGTGGTGAACTTCATATTAGCCTTACATTTAAAGTGAAAACGTGCCCAATATTGAAAAGTTAATTAATAATTAAATATATAAGTGCTGTTGGATTCCTGTATATTATACAAACTCTGCAAACAACCACAAATTTAAAACTTGCCATTCATTATCATATGATTTATTTATTGTTTTATTATTATTTACAATAACAAATAACATAATTTACACAAAAAAACATGAGCAAATCAAATATGCAAACATATAAAAGAAATAGGTCACTGTGATGCTTAGGTAATGACATAAAAAAACAAGAATAATAATAAACATAGAAGACAACAATATAGATTTATGTTTGTAAGCTGATACGTATATCTATCGAATACATATATTAAAAAGAGCAATTTAATGGCATAAATCGGGTTCTATCCTGAAATAGATCACGTTGTTTCAATATTCTATCTAATTGGTTGATTCTTATCATCGCCCCATATACATAAGTTTGGTATTGATTGACATATCGTGTTTATTTCAAATGTGAATTACCTGGAATATATGTGGAATTATATATAAAAAAAAGAAAAAAAATATGAAAAAATATGATTCCATGCAGCGAAAAATAATTTTTTACAACGAAAATGGGGAAAAAAGACATACGCAATTTATTTCATCAATATTTCTCAATATTTCGTTCATAAGTATATAATAAAGCAATCTATTTCATAAATAATAAATCTGTTTTTGAATCTCCTGTGCATTCAGTACATTAAATCTAGAAGCATCAGTTTTCCTGTTGCTCGCTATTTATATACTAATGGGAGAATAATTTAAGTGAATATAAAATAAATATGTTGTTGTTAGACCAAATATTTATAAAATCGTCACGCACCTTCATTAACAGCTAAATAAAAAAATAAATGTGGAACAAATTTAACAAAGTTAGAGGCTGAATGTATATCAAACTTAAACATAAACAATATGTTTCATAATCATTCTAAACAATTATCAATATTCCACTTCTTTTTGTTGAAACCAGTGTTAAAGGATTTACAATTAAAGGTGGAAAATACACATTCTTGATTTGAGTTCGTACACAAAAGAGCATAAATTGACTGTGAACCAAATCGGTCTCTCTTATCGCTGAGATATCAGTCTTTGTAACTGCTTCAGGCACAGAAAAGGCACGGGGAAAACTATATCCATTTTAAAGATCCTGTAACACAATTTTTTCATGGTTTTATTTCATAGATATGATGCTCAAATTAAGATTTGTCAATATTGTAAGTTCTAATAAGCATTATTTATAAAGATATTACCCAATTTAACATTTCAAATAAATAAAGGGAGGGAGGTAATTAGAAATTTATTTTCTATAAATCCTAAGTCTAATTTTCCAATAAGAAATGAATGCATGTAATTTATTTATTAAATATAATGTTCACAAATATTTACAGTACACATTTTACATATTCTTCGATGTTTGAAAATTGTTTTATTTGCATAATTATATACATATATAATTTTTTGCAAGTGTAGTATACACACAGTAACAATATCAATTACAAAAAATACAGGGTCTTTAACAAAGTACCAATCATAAACTTGCTAGACCCTATGAATGTTCCAACATCAACGTTTTCTGTAAGACTATCATTGACTTGAACCTACTTTTATTCTTCGTATTTGTGACAGATCTTTTGTACAATGCTTGATCTATGTCATTTCTTTACATAAACACAAATTAAAGTCATCTAGCTGTATATGGACGGGTTCATTAGGTACATGTACTAGTGCAGCATCGTTCTGCTGCAGTTTTCCAAATTGCACAGTCTTCACTACAGCGTGTAAACTCGCCAAAGGTAAAAAAAACTCATGGTTCACCTTCTTTGAAATGCTGTAGGGAACGAGGCCTCCGTTTACTAGATTTGGTAGACATACCTCGCCCACCACATTGCGGCAATGTTAGTAATTAACTGAGAATTATTACTAAATAAGAGATAGAACCGACTTGCTGGTGGTGTAAATCTTCTTTTTCCGTTAGGCTCGTGGTCTTTGTATCATCTTTGCTTTCTTTAATAATTGGATTAGACTCATTCATGTAACACATCTTTAAGTGTGCATGTAAAAATATATGTCGCTAAATATTGTCTTGAGCATTCTTAAATGTTAAATTCAAATGTTCAAATGTTCAACAGTTTGAACATAATAATGATAGTCCAATGACTAAATGCCATTAATTTTATAAGAAATATAAAGTCTACACACATGCTCAATAAGTGCAAAAGTGCATGGAAAAGCAATGTTGTAAAAAGTTAGAGTCAATGATAGCTGTGCTTACACCAACCACAGCTCAGTACCGTCGTCGCATGGCAGTGACATAAAGTTATATTAATTCCGGGGTAGATTTGCCTGCGCTTAAATCATCTATGCACGTAGTTTGGTACTAAACCAGAAAGTTGAGATATGTGTAACTACATTTCTACTGCGTTACTAACGCAGTAAGGGCAATTTTTGCCTATGTTTTTTAATGATATTTTCAAGACCAAATACCAAATCCTTCAAATAATGGTATTTTTGTTACTGACGTATGTTTAAGAATAACACTGTGAATGCTGTACGATAGCGTACGAGTCAACACTGCAAGAATGACTGTTTTTCTAAAAGCAAGCAACATCAATGTAATGAACGTGCCCGAAAAGTCATTAGATTTACATGCGATATAAAATTTACGGGGCGAATTAAAATGCTGAGTTGGCAAATCTACTCTAAAATGCATTACAGGATGTACATGTTTATATCAGATCCATGCAATGACGGCTGTGATCAAGAGTCAGACTGGCGATACATGTTGGCGGTAAAAGAATAATGACTGACGTCGTCATTTTGCAACATTAACATTTCACGCAACATTGCATTTATTGCGCATTTGTACATTTGTGTAAAATTTGTGATTGTTATGAAATTTAAAAATGACGATATTATATCAAATCTCTCGACTAATTTATTGAAATTCTATTTCAACATGATCAGGCCAATATTGGTAAAAATATGAGACCATTTTACTTCTACACCTATAAATGCTAAACTGTCTGTCGAACGTATATGTTTTCTCATCAATAAATTGCACCTCCAGATTCGTTAAAAGGTTCATCGGCGTATTCCAACTTACTGTTAAACATAGCCCTGGAAACTTGAGAAAATGTGTCAGCTAGCTAACCGTTAAAGGTAAATTATATGTTATCACATTTATTTTACATTGCATTTCTCTTTCTTTCAGCTATTTTACTTCATTGGCAACATTGACAAATCTTCCTAGGTAGTCTCCAAAGAGTTCAGATCAATTCTTTGTACATATATTATGTACTAAGCTTGAAAGGTATAAACAGAAATAAGCTTGTTTACATGGTTTTTATTAAAGAATCATGTTGTTGACAGTCTTTTCGATTTGCATACTAAAGTAACCATTTCTTGGAATAAATACAGTTTAAGTACACTGATTTGTGTGTTATACACTTCTTGTCACATATGGAAGTCCCT